AAAAAAAAAAAAAACGGAAAAGAATCTGCAAATTGAAAAGAATTTATCACTTATAAAGCAAGTTAAATTACGTTGCTCAAGCTACTGTTAAACTTGGCATCACAATTACAAAGAATAATCAAGTATGCTGACAGGGAAAGATCTCCAATACTTCTCAAGTGAAAGAAGCACGCTGCAGAAGGATCATCTATTTAAATACTGAACAAGCCTGGTGTGGTGCTGCGCACCTGTATTCCCAGCACTCCAGAAGCTGCTGAGGCCAGCCCGGGCCACACAGTGAGCTGCAGGCCTGCCTGAACTGCACAGCAAGACCCTGTCTCAAAAAGACAAAAATAACATTAAATTTAAAAATTAAATTAAAGCAAAATAGGGAATTACGCGCATGCCTGCATACACACACCTGTCCCTGTACCAATAACAACATGTATGAGGAGACTCCTTCCAGGCTACCCACCAGACACAGACAATAAGCTCTGAGCAGGAACATGCCTAGAAGGCACACAGAGTAATTCACTTTCACGCCACTCATTTTTGTAATACTTAAAGGTGTTGGTTTTTGTTTGTACTGGGGGCAAAAAAACAGGTACCACAGCACAGGTCTGTAATCCTAGTTACTTGGAAGGCTGAGGCAGGAGGACCACAGCCTGAGCTACTCATCAACACCCTGCTTTCATTTAAAAAATAAAAAGGGGTGGGGAATGTAGCCAAATACTCCCTGGGTTCACATAAAAATTTTTTTTTAATTTTCAGAAAAATCAGTATGTTGAAATGTTACTAGATGAACTCTATAATGATTTTCTTAAAATTATAGTTAGGTAGGCAAAGAATTAAAAAGAATTCCTGACCGCAAAACACAGCATGTAGGGCTAGGGAGATAGCTCAATAGAATAAGTGCCTGCCTGGCAAGCGCAGGGTCCTGAGTTCAATCCCCTGTACCAAAAAAACCAGCATGCACCAAGATCTTTAGTATTATGATTTTTATTTGAAAAATGGGAGAAAATGAACTTATAACAATGCTGCCTAGCTGGGGAGATGGTTCAGTGGAATAAGTGCTTCCCTGCCAAGTGCAAGGGCCCTAGTTCTAATCTCTGGTTCTGCCAAAAAAAAAAAAAGGAGTTCACTTTTTACCTACCCATTTGATTTGAAGCTGTCTCATTGCTATTTGTTTATCAATAAAATTATGGCAAAAAAAATAAATAAAATATGTCTTTTTGACCAAAAAAAAAAAAAAACAAAACAAAAACGTGCCTGGGCTGGAAGCTGCAAGTTATACCAGTGCTGCCCCTTTTATTCAACCAGGCAAGACACTTAAGCATTGTATATTAAATTAACCCATTACCCAAGTCCCTGCCCCCCCAATACAGGTGACAAATCTTTCTGTGGGATACTGGGAATCGAACTCAGGACCTTGTGCTTGCCAGCAAGTTGCTATGCCACTGAGCTATATCCCCAGCTTGACAAATCTTTTTAAAACCCTTTATAAGCAACACTGAATGTCAAAAAAGCAACTGTGGATACTAATTTTAGTACCTTTGCCTCTTAAGATCCCATAATTTGGGCCAGTGAGATAGCTCAGTGGTCTAAAGCACCTGCTTAGGCCAACTCAGGCAAAGCCAAGGGACAGGGAATCAATCGTCGGCACCACTTGCTGCACCAGCACCGCCCCCGAGCTGTGCTGAGCCACCAAAAAAAAAAAA